ACAACAACAACAACAGAATTTACTCTTAAATTTAATTTTATGAATTCTTTCATTCGTTTATTCTCTAAATTAAAGAATGTATGATGCTGTAAAAATGAATGAATGATCAAAATAGCCATAACAATAATAATAAAAATTGACGAATACAAAAAGAAAATTGTTGTTTTTCTTGTGTGTGTGTGTGTGTGTGTGTGATCAGAAAAAAAAAAAAAAAAAAATTGGACTTTGAAAATGGTGTGAATTTTTTTTATTACTTGTTGTTGTTGTTACTGGAAACTCGAATTTTTTTTCCTAGCCTCCATCCATTATTCACCATCGCTAAATAACGATGATGAGTAATGAATAGAATAACAACAACAACAACAACGACAACAACTACAACGACAATAAACTCGTTTGAATACCAAATGGTGACAATTGTTAGAATGGTGAAAAAGAAAATGATGAACAAATAGTTAAATGTGGTTATATATATGGGTAGTATAGTTACCGGATGATGATGATGGTGATGGTTACCCGGACAATATTGATTGTATATGAGAGATCGAAAAACCCGTAAAGGATATTAATTTGTTTTTGCCAATTCCCAATAAAAAGGAAAAAAAATCGATAGAAATTTTTTTTGTTTTGTTTTGTTTTCTTCCCTACAAAACAACAATTCAAACAAACAAACAAATAATAGATTAAATTAAACTTTTTCCGTCTGTATAGAATATACAGACAAACACATGAGGAAAGAGAAAAAGAGATAGAGAGAGAGACCATTAACACCGTTTTACAATCGATTTATAATTAAAGGGATAGAAATTTTTTTCAATTTAAATGTTGCCGGGTTATTTATATATATATATATATGAGGCACAGGCTACACCTTTTTGTCGTTATAAATAGCGAGAGAGAGAGAGAGAGAGAAAAAATTCATTACAATCATTTGATTGATTATTTTGTTGTTGTTTTCATGCGTGAACGAATCGTAATCAACTACAACAACAAATCGATAATGAATTTATTGATTGAATCGATTTCGATAATACATGTGCGTCCATTGTGTGTGTGTGGGCATCATTCATATATTCCTGTGTTCACAATCAATAAATATTCTGGTGAGTTTTTGAATCGAATCAATTTAAAAATTTCAAACCCACACACACACACATGATATTTCTATTATTGATACTTTTTTTCCAACTCAATCACCGGCTGTTTGTTGGTGTGTTTAATATGCCTGAAATATTCATTATTCGTTCATGCAATTGTTTGATATTTATTTTAATTTAAAAATGGCGTGCATATGTGTATGTGTGTGTGTTCAAGTGAGAAATACAGAATTTTTTTTCAAATGCTGATGTAATGTATGTAAATTATAATGGATATTTTTTTTTACTCTTTCTCATCCGATTCATTCATTTGATGATGTTTTCATTATTCTAATGATGTTTATTTACCAACCGGAATAATCAAATTCATTTACACACACACACACACACACACACACACACACATTAATAATTATAATCGAAATGAATTTCCGTTTCCGAATTTTCACGGAATTTATTAAATATGATGATGATGATGATTTTGTACATTCTTCCTTTTCTTCATCAAAAAAAAAAAAAAAAATAAAATAAAATAAAATAAAATAAAACCACCACCACCACCACCATCATACATCAGGCAACCAAAAAAACCCTCAATCATTGATTATTATTCTCAATGTGTGGAAATAAAAAAAAGACATTATCAATGACAAAGAATTGTTCGATCTCTTTCTCTCTTCATGTGTGTAAGTGAATGCGAGAAAAAACCACAATTTCACATTAACAATGATAATGATGATCGGTAAATTGATTTTTCGTTCTTATGTTCGTTATGTGTATGTTTTTTTTTGCAGCAAACCACAAAATTATTATTATTTTTTTTGGCAAATGATGATGATTGAATGACGACGACGACGACGACTACGACAAAAAACAAGCGACATTTTCAGTTTCTATATATAAATGTGTGTCTGTGTATGTTTTTCTCTTGATTTCATGTTTTTTTCAAAGAATAAGAAAATTGGCTTGATTCTCTCTCTCTCTCTCTCTCTCTCTCTCTCTCTCTCTCTCTCTCTCTCTCTCTCTCTCTCTCTCTCTCTCTCTCTCTCTCTCTCTCTCTCTCTCTCTCTCTCTCTCTCTCTCTCTCTCTCTCTCTCTCTCTCTCTCTCTCTCTCTCTCTCTCTCTCTCTCTCTCTCTCTCTCTCTCTCTCTCTCTCTCTCTCTCTCTCTCTCTTTTTTTGTTCCTCTTTCATCCTGTTTCCATTTACGTTTTGTCTTTTTTTCCAAATTACTTTCTTTCTTTCTTTTCTTTTCATTACAATTTCAATTTGACGTTTGTCATCATTATGATTCTCATCATCAGGTCCCAATAGAGACAACATCATAAATTTTTTTTCTCTTTTTTTTTTGGTTTATTTTTCAAATAAATTTATCCCATTCATCATCAAACTGGCAAAGAAAAAAAAAGATTATGTAAGACCTGTGTATATATGCGAGAACGTCTTGAAAATTAATACCATTTTCAAATGAACGAAAAAAAAATCTAGCTAATTTCAAAAAACGCAAATCAAAAACAGGTCGACTTACTTTTGCCGAACATATATATACGTCTGCTATATTGTTCTGGTTGTTGTTGTTGTTGTTGTTGTCATTGTATATTGATTGAGATTTCGGCAAATTTCCTCCCATTCCATCTCAATGAGAAAAAACGGAATTTCATTGTTAAAGAAACTAAAATGGATCGATTTCAAAATTATCGAATAGCAAAACCTTCCGTATCACCACCTTTTGGATACACAAAAGAAAGCAAATTTCTTTGTTGTTATGTTTGAAGAATAACAGCAACAACAACAACAACAAACATAGAATCTTTTGTCAATGAAAGAAAAATGTGCACTAGAAACTATGTACAATTCAAAAAAAGTGTTGAATAAAATCAAGTTCTTGGATGGCAACAACAACAACAACAACAACAATTTCTTCGAACGTTGTTTCTGGATCTTTCAATTTGGTTTTCTCCAATAAAAAACACTCACAAACATATTCAATACAAACAAACGGTAAACTTGATCAAACAAATCAAACGTTTCTTTTGTGTTTAGAAAATAAATAAGTAAATTTCACTTTTTTTTCAACAATAACAACAGTTGCATTACCGGTTGTTGTTGTTGTTGTTATTGACAGATGCATGTAAAAATTTGAATCTGAAAAAAACTTGTCCTAAATTTTTTTCTCCTGAAAAAAAGTCGTTTAAATTTTTTTTTATCTAAATTCCTTTACATATTTATGTTGGAAAAGTTTGTATTCATCTTCCACCACTATCGATAATATATGTGTATAACAATCGAATAACAAATGATCCAGAAAGAAAAAAAAATTCGAATGTTACGAATATAAGTGGAATTGGAACAAAATTCAACTTTAAATTCTTTTTCGTTTTCTATTTTTTTTATGACGAAATTCTTTCTTTTTTTCTCTGCAAATATACAACAAAATAATAATAGAATGTAATGATATTTATGAATAATATAAACTTGAAATCAATTGGATATTGATTTTTTTTCCAAATTTCAAATCAATAATTTTTCTTTCCAAATCCATACTACTATACACAGAAGTATGGCACACGCACACACACACACATCAACACTTGGAAACAATAATGACATTTCTTTCCCGGTTATATGAAAGAATAAATCCTATGGCCGTCGACATTGTACGTTGATTTTGGAATTTCTTTGAAATTCTTTTTTTGTTGGAATTTTCCGGAAATAATATATATCATCATTAGATGTGGTTTCCATAACAAACGTATTTTATTTCAAGCCAAATGGACCCTGAAGCCTGGACCGATCGATCATTCAATGACTATATTCACTGATATCTGATTTTTGTTTGTGTGTGTGTGTGTGTATGTGAATATAGACACACTTCCGTTTTAACTATTATATTCTATTATTGTGGGTAATCGTACATTTTTTTTTCTATCATTTCATTCATGAATAAAGTCAAGTTTAAATAATGAATGGACTTTACGATAGAAATGAAACGAAACGAAACGAAACGAAACAAAACAAAACAAAACGAAACGAAAAAAAAATTATTCTAACTTGGTACAAATTGACAAAATAAAATAAAATTCTTATCACGTTTCCTGATGTACAAACAAACAACAGAAAAAAAACCGAAAAAGACGAAGAAGAAGAAGAAGGAAAAAAAACGTCGAAACTTTGTAGTTTGATTTTGAATCAAACAAAACTAAACAAAACGAAAAAAAAATATCAAGGAAATTCAATCCGAATAAAACCGAACAAATAAGTAAACTAATATTCTCAATTTTTGATTGAAACAAAAAAAATCACAACAACAACAACATTCTCGAATACAAGGCGCATATCGTCGTATATTAAACAAAATCAATTGAATAATAATGATGATAATTCAAATTGAAAATCATTATACATTCAAAAGAATATATATTACATTACCGAATGAATATACTTGATAATTACATTGTTCAGACTCACATAAAAAAAATAAAAATAAAATCGCTACATTAAACAATCAATTGGTTGTTCAAATTCAAATAACGGATACTTGAAACAAATATATAATGTATATATGTGTGTGTGTAATTGATTTTGTATTCTGATTTCATTTTCACATCACACTTAAGATTCATTTTCTTTTTCTTTTTTTTCCGTTTCTTACACGTAATCTCATGGAAACATTTTCATCATGAATTCATTTTCATAGGAGAAAAAAATTAAATTTACAGCAACACTTTGCATTGCTTTGAATAAAATAAATGTAAAATGAAAATAAAAAAAAAATTTGTCAAAATTCATATATTACACATAATTACTTTATTCATCAAATTGAATCATAATTTATTTGATTTGTGTGTGTATGTGTGTGTGTGTGTGTAGGTGTCTTTGTTTTTTTGACAGTACATTAAATTTTCATTGAATTTAAAATGAAAAAATACTAAATTTTTTTTCTTCTTCTCCATTCATACAAATGGGTGGTGATGGTGGTCGATCAGTCGTTGTTTGTGTATTATAAAAAAAAAATATTTTAAATTAGAAATGTAATAATGACCAGATTAATTATTGTACTACAATGGTGGTGGTGATGTGTAAATGTGTGTGTGTCATCAATTAAATTCGAATGATCGATCAGATATTTTATATAGATTTTCAGCCGATGATTATGATGAATCATCCTTTATTTTTTGGTGACTATTCAAGGATGAAATTTTAAAGCACCACCACCACCACCTTTCATTTTTGATGCAATTTTCATGACACTTGATGGAAAATTATGATTTTCCTGAAATAATGAACAACCGGGTACATAGATCACAGGCACATCTTTATAACAAAAAAAAATTAAAAAAAAATAAAGACAATTTAAAATCATTTAGTACAAGGAAATTACTTAGTCATTGCATGACATAGGCCATTTATAATACTTACGATCAGGCAATTGATATAGTTTAGCTGATAAATCAGCAAAAAATTCATGATGCATTGCATCTTTTGATGAGATCCTTTCTCTTGGTTCTAATGCTAAACATTTAAGGGCCAATGTTTCAGCATTGGCTATCGACAATAATTTTGGAAAACAACGTCCCAATGGTTGAGATTGATACGTGGTATTTTTTACTTATTGAGATATGATTTAGAAAATGATGATTGATCACCAAATTGGAAAAAACCAATACAAAAAAAATCAATTATCAAACGTATAATTAAATTGCGTGATCATAATAATAATACTTACAACAATTAAATGTCATAATTGATTGATATTCTTCCCAATATGATTTCTGTGGTGTACCAAATACACGAAATATTTTATCTAATTGATCGGTTGGATCTTTTACGCCAGGAAATGCAGGTGAACCACATATCATTTCGATAAATATACAGCCAACTCCCCACATATCTAATGATGTGGAATAATTTCTGGAACCAAGCAATACATCAGGTGGTCGATACCATAATGTAACCACTTCATTCGAATACGTATGTGATGGTATCGATTTGGCACGTGCAAGACCAAAATCGGCCAATTTTAATTCACCTTGTTCCGATATTAGTAGATTCTATTTCAATTACAAATTACAAATTTTCAAATCAATTCAAAAAAAAACTTAATTAATTACCTGTGGCTTAAGATCACGATGTAGTATACGGCGTTCATGGCAATAAGAAAGACCACGTAATAATTGAAACATAAAAAGACGAACATTATTCGCATTCAGACCACCAGGATGACGTTCCAGATATTGACTTAGATCAGTATCCACATATTCAAATACAAGAATTAATGTTTGTCGTGTATGAACAATATCGTGTAATGTAACAATATTAGCATGTTTAAGTTCACGAAGTAATGATGCTTCACGTATGGCTGTAAATGGTGCACCTTCTTCCGCTTGTAATCGTATCTCTTTTAATGCAACAACACGATTTAAAACATTACTAAAACCTTTATAAACGGTGGCATATGATCCTTCACCAAGTTGATCTAATTTTAAATATGAATCTAATCGACCAAAACCATTCGAACACTGCAAATAAAAATGAAAATCAATAGAAACAAATTCAATAAAATCAAAAAAAAATACCGATATTTCATAGGCGCTAAATCTTGAGATCGAATGTTTTACTGGACGGCCATGTTCACCACCAAAATACATTGATACAGGTCGACCACTAGTACCACCACCATGATGATGATCTACTGAATTATTCTGTTCATTAGATATTGATGATTGTTGATTATGATCCAATGATGATGGATCAGTTGGATGATTATGTTCCAAATGCTGTTGCTGATGATGACTATGCAAATCATAAATATCTGATTTGGGTCGTAATTTATTTGCCTTCATTTTATTTGTTTTATCTCGCATGATAACATGTTTAAATAGATTCGATGATGATGAAGGTGGTTGATGTGGTTGTTGTTGAGGTTGATCATCATTTAAACTTGAATGTTCCAATAATGTTTCCAAATGATCCGGTATTAATCGTTGTAGTTGATGTTGTTGTAGATGTTGTAAATGATAGATTGATGTTGATCTTGGTGGTGGTTTAGGTGCTGGTCCTAATTTTGTCATTGTTGTTGCTGTTACTGGTGGTGTTGTTGTTGTTGTTGTTGTTGATGATGATGATATATCACCAAAAACATGATGATTATGTACAAATGTTTTATTACCATTTTTTATCTTTTGTTCATTGCCATTATCATCACAATAATAATCATCATCATCATCATTATTATTATCAATAGGATGATTATGTTCATAATGTGATAAATGCTGTTGCTGTGGTTTCGAATGTGTATGTTGTTGTTCCAATACAACATCATCCAATGTTGTAAATTTAATTATTTCAACATTATTCTGAAAAAAATTGAATTATAAATTTAATTAAATTCAAAATCATCAAAACAGAATAAAAGATTACCTGATTATTATCACTAAATTCTGATGAAATTGTACGATGATAATGATGTTCCTGATTCAGGTTACCATTATTAGATGATGATGAAAGGCTAAAACATTCAAAATGTGATGAAAGACGTTTTTTAAGACGTTGTAATTTTGATGTTGTTGTTGTTGTTGTCTTATTATTACTATTATTATTCGATATTGTATGATGAAGATGATTATTATCACTTAATGGATGGAATGACTGTGATGATGATGATTTAACCATAGTTGTCATTGTAGTTGGACAATGATCATAATGATTATGTTGCTGTTGTTGATGATGAATAGATGTATTGTCATCGATCATCGATGATGATGATGATGATGATAATAATAATGGTAATGGTCTATCAATTCCATCCGAAATGATATGAATTTCATTATTACCATTCATCGATTGTTGTTGTTGTTGTGGTGAATGATGATTATGGTGATTATGATGATGATGATGATGGAATTGTAAATCATCCGGTGGTTCATAAGGATTGGATAAATTATTATTTTTTGATCGTAATTGATGTTTATAACAATATTCATAATTTATTGACATTTTTGTTGTTGTTGTTGTTTTTGTTTTCTTTCTCACCAACTACCAGTAGCGCGTTGTTTGTTAATTAATTAATTAATTTTAATTTGAATTTGAATGTGATGAAAATCATAAATGATTCTTCTTTTTGTTGCTGTACATACAAAAAAAATATTAGTTTTCTGAATCTAGAAAAAAAAGAGGCAGAGAAACAAAATTTCTACGGCAATGCAGCGTCGGCGTCGGCCTTGCAGTTGGTTTGTTTGTTTGTTGTCAAGGTAATTGAATAAATAACGAAAAAAGGGGACTATTTTTTTGTTTATTTTGCTCGGTTACAACAACAACAACAACAACGATTATCGACGTTTATTGTTTATTTATTTTGGATCTTCATTATAACTGTAGTAGTATATATATCATCGTTAGTTTATTATCGTAGCCATCATCTTCTAAATCAATTTTTTTATTCTGGATCATCAACGATTACAATTATTTTGATGAACCAATTTTCATGTGATCACCAATTAAATAATATTCTGGTCATCAGGATTTTCATCAGGAAACATACAATATATTTCTTCTTTATTTTCTTCGAAAGAACTAAAATCCAAATCCAAATTGATGATTCTCCAATTTTAATATTTTTGAATATATAGACAAAAATATATCATCACAAATCAAATTGCGGCCACAATTCGCCAACACCATCGCACACAATTACAGATGTGAAAAATATTGGCAGACAAGAAAAAAAATCAAGTTGTTGACATCGCAATGTGTGGATGATTTTGTTCAATATATATAAATTTTTATGAATTAAAAATCAAACAAAAGCAAATGTAAACCCACACACACATACACACATACATGCATACAACACCAACACCAACACCGACACAAAAGATAAACAACTAATTCATATTCAGTTCAGTTCTCAATGGGAATAAAATATTCAATTCATTCAAATCCGAATCTTTTTTTTTCTTCTTCTGCTGCTGCTGCTGCTGCTGTTTTTGTTGTTGTTGTTTTGGAATCGACCATGTCGCCCAAACTATATATATCCATTTGATTATTGTTACACAATTGTTTCTTATGCTACTACTACATTCATTTAGTCAGATTTAATGAATGATCCATACCACACACACACATATATATATATTCTATGACCGTTATCATTACTGATATTTCGTATTCTAATCAATAGATCGCGCGATATGCAATGGGGGATTAAGAATTTCGAATGTTTTTTTTTTTGGATTTAAATGTCATGTGAAAGATTCTTTTTGACTTTTTTCAACGAAATACAAATTCCAGTGGACTAAAATTTTTTCTTGACATTTGTGCCAACTTTTTGAAAAAATGAAATTTCATTTTTTCTTTCCATTCGGTTAAAAAGTCTGGCCCTATCTTCGGTTTGATGGGCTAGATTTCAATTTTGATTTTCCATTTATCAATTACAACATTTTTTGTTGTTGTCGCTTTTTTCTCAGCTACCGAAAGCAAAGTAGAGAAGAAAAAAATGAATCCCGAATAATAATAATAATAATAATTCTATTCCCTTGTACATTGTTTTTTTTATTTGTTTCCATTCAGACAACGAAGCCAAAACTCAAGAACTCAAGAATCATCATCATCATAATCAAAATTTTGTTACAAACAACGACAACAACCTCATCCATCCGTAAATCTATGGAAATTGCAATTGGAATTTCATCATCATCATCATCATGAAAATTATGAATCCAAGCCCAAACCATTTGGAAAAAAAACGAAATGAATTTGGAACAAATAAACGATGATGATGATGATGATGAACATCCCTACTGCATTTGCGAATGGATTCTACCTTTTGGTCTGTGTGTTTCAATGTTTTTCATTCGATTCGTTTCAATTCACCGACAACAACACCAACACATCGGATAATATATTTTATACATGTGTGGATACACACACTGGGATTAGTGAAGTTTTTTTTTTTTTGCTTGCTTGGATTTTCTCGCTTCGCTCCAGTTCGTATCGGTTTTTTTTCATTACATCTCGTCGTTTTTTTCACTTTCAATTACTTTGATAAAATTCTAATCATTTTTTTTGTTGTTGTTTAGTAATACTGATTCTTGTTTTTTTTTTTTTTTTTTTTTGTTCCAGTGGCTCCCGTTATTTTATTCATCGTGATACGATTTTTTTTTTGTTTCATTTTATTATGGAACAACGGTTATTTAAATATTGTATTGGAAAGAATGAAAATTTCCGGTTTCTTTCCCATCATCATCATCATCATCTCTTATCACATCTGGAAAATCTCTGGTTTTCTCAAAAGCTAAATTCAGCTTTATTTGGATGAATGTGATGATATGATGATGTTATATGAATGGAATTATGATTGAACAAAACAACAACAAAAAAAAAAAAAGAAAAACGCCTACACATACCAAAAATAACCAGGATTCTCTTCATTTCTCTCTTTTTTTTCTATTTAGTTTAGGTTTTTATTTTTCATTAATAATGTTTTTGGGAAAATGTTCCACCTGGACCACCAACACTATACATCACATCATGAGGCATATATGTTTGTGATGTGGAACATCATCATCATCATCATCACCACCCTGATGGTGTGATGGTAATTATATTGTGATGATGATTAAAGCATGCGCAGAATATTCTGTTTTTGTTAATATAATTTTTTCAAAAATGATAATTTAAACACAATTCTACCAAAAAAAAAAAATCAATTGTAACAAAAAAGAAAAAAAACTTAGATAAAATGATGATATGATTGATCAAAGAAACGACACAGAATCGTGTATTGTAAATTATATTATTTCTATTGTTTTTGTTTGTTTGTTTGTTTATTTTGTTTTATAATCTATAAATAGTACACACACACACAGGCATAGATTATAGATTATAAATGACCAATAATAATAACAATATTTAATAGATAAAACAATAATGATAATGAATGAATCGAATGAATGATTTTTATATCGAAAATTGAATTTTGAACAAATATTTACTCGTTTTTCTTGTTATTCTTGATTCTAAAATCGGTGTTTTTTTAAACAAAATCTTTACATTTCATTTATTTTTGTTTTTTTTTGTTTGACGAATGCTGGTGTGTTTAGTGGTTGATTCTTGTGTTTTTCCAAATGGAATATTTGCAAAATTCTTTTTTTTTCTCTATCTCTTTTAACAATTTCAATTGTGTTTCTTTGTTCCTAAACTCCTCCGCATTTTTTTGTTTGTTTGTTTGTTGTTGGAAAGCCATTCCAAACATGATTTTTGTGTGTGTGTGTGTGTGTGTGTGTGAATGAATTCTGGATTTTTTTTTTGATTCAAAATGCAATAACATTGCGACTACAAAAGCTAGAAAAAAATTTTGTTTTTTTTAAAATAATATTCTATTGCGTAACAGTATGTTGTGTGTGTGTATCCATTTAGTATGTTTCGAAAAATGATTTCTGGAAATGTAAAAAAAAAATTGTTTCAACAAAAAATCAATCTAATTTTGTGGCCAAGAAAAAAAAGGAAACATTTACAAACTTGCAAAGGGAACATTTCTTTTGCTTTATGTATTATACACATATATAATATACGTGCTGCATAGTCAACAAACACATACACAAACCATACCAGAATCTAGAATGAAAAATGATTTTTCCGTTTTTTTTTCATTTCATTTCGTTGCGTTTGGTTTGGTTTGGTTCCCATTTCCCATCATCATCATCATCATCATTTATTCGTGTTGGTAATTTTGTTTTTGGTCGACAAAAGATTAACACATTCATTCATGTTTGTGTGTGTGTGTGTGGTCGACACTGAGTTTATAGGCCATAAATGGTGTTGATTTTTTTTTTTTGCTTTGGTTTTGTTTTTACTTAACACTTTGAAATCCTAACAGAGAAAATAATAGTGTGATAATCATCATTCTTTGGAAAAAATGATTTATATTGGGCGCTTTCATAACTTCCTATCTAATACATATCTATCTTGTGTTTTGATAATTTAGGATTTTTGTTTTTTTTTATTGATTTCCGATGTATTATAAAGTTAGCCAGGAATAAAAAAAAACATCTGCCTTTAGGTTGTTGTTGTTGTTGTTACACATTTATTCTATCAATTTGAGTATGTCAAGGATTTTTGTTAAATTTAAAATTTTTTTC